CCAGCGCCGCCCCCCAACACGCTCAGCTCTCTGTGGACGTGGAGTGTCCGTGAGATGTGGCCCCTCGCTATCCACCATCGGAGGCTGGAGTTGCCTGTTACTGTAGCATCACCGACTCTTCTGACGGACCCAGGACATATTCCTTCAAAGAGGAATTGGTTCTTAAAATGTCACTGCATAGATTCAACAGCCGTCTAGACTCAATAAATACAGAGCCGATAAACTAGAAGACACTTATGCCCACAGCCCAGAGCGCAGCAGCACCGGGAGAGAGACAGGCGGGACACACTCCAAAGCAATATTGAGGTGGGACAGCGTGCTTCGTGTGTAATCAGAGTCCTGAAGGGAGACCGGGAACAGAACGAGGAGCATCCGAAGGAATACTGAGACACACACGTCTTCGTCTCCATCAGAGGAACACGAACAACCTAATTTAGTATGCACAAGACATGGGCACAGACATTTTCCCAGAGAGGACGTAGTAATGGACAATGCCCCAGAATGAGGCACAACATCACTGGTCACTGCAGAAATGAAAATTAAAGCAAGATACCGTCTTCTACCCATTAGAGCATCTGTGCTCCGCAGCAACAGGTGTCAGCACCGTGGGTGGGAACGTCATGTGGGACGGCCAATGCAGAACATGATCTCTTGTGAATTCTTAAAAAGTCAAAAACATACGTTTACCATGAGACCCATGAATTCCAGCCCTAGGTCTCTACCCAAAAGAGGGGAAGCATGCGGCCACATGAGGCTCTGCACACAAACATTCCCAACAGCTTTATCCACAACAGCCACAAAGTGTAAACGACACAAATGTCCACTAAGTGGTGATGGGCAAACAAAATGCAGCATATCCACACAGAGGAATCCTCTTCAGCAATAAAAATCAATGGAGTCTGCATAATGCAGCAACACGGACGTGCCTCAGGTGCATTTCGCTCAGGGAAAGAAGCCAGACACAGAGACCACATATGATTCCACTTACATAAAACGTCAGGAGAAGGCGACTCCATAGAAACAGGGAGCTCCTTAGCTTCCTGGGCAGGCAGTGGGAATAGAAACCGACTGACTGAATAAGTGTAAGGGATCTTACTGGGGTGAAGAGGATGTCCCAAAAGTGAATTATGTGGATGGCCACACAACTTTGTAAATTTAATGAGAGTCATTCATTTGTACATTAAGTTGTTTTAATCACCCACAGAAATCTCTTTCATGTAACCACTGCATTTTGCAAAGGCAATCTCCAGAAGAAGAAAAGTAGTGCATTACCAATTACTACATTACGTTTAAAGCATGCAAAATAATGCTTAAAGAACACACATAAGGGTACGTGGATGGCTCAGTCGGTGAAGCATCTGCCTTCAGCTCAGGTCATGATCTCAGAGTCCTGGGGTCGAGTCCCACATCAGGCTCCCTGCTTCGTGGAACGTGCTTCTCCCTCTCCCTCTGCCCCTCCTCCCTGCTTGTGCGCTCTCTCGCATGTGCGCTCTCTGTCAAATAAATAAATAAAATCTTTAAAAATATATATCTGAAATAAATTTGTTCAGACGCAGAGCGACATTAAGCAAAGGGCTCTGGTGTCTGAGCAAAGGGAACTGGTGAGGACCCCACATCGCCACTCTCTGCCTAGAGGCTGCTTCCGGGCTGCAGGTACAGAAAGGGGGAACCAGAGAACACAGTCCTCCCTGAGCTGTCAAGCCAGAAATGGTGTTTGGGATGTCACGTCGGCCATGAGTTGTGCAAAAACAGCACGGAGGAGCCTCAGAGAATTTCGTAGTGAAAGAAGACACACACGAAAGAGAAATGCCTAGGATTCCAATTATGTGCAACTCTGCAAAAGAAAAGTCTCACTTGCGGTGGCAGAAAGCAGGTGAGCGTTTCCTGGCCAGCAGGGGTGGCAGGCACTGAGTTGAAAGGGACACCAGGGAACATTCTGGGCCAATGGCAATGTTTGACATCTCATTTGTTTTGTGGTGACCCAGGTGTACAGTTTTGTTAAAACTGGTCAAAGCTGTGCTGCAAATGGGTGCATTTACTGTACATAAATTCTTTTTTTTAATTTTTATTTATTTTTTATGATAGTCACACACAGAGAGAGAGAGAGAGAGAGAGAGAGGCAGAGACACAGGCAGAGGGAGAAGCAGGCTCCATGCACTGAGAGCCCGACGTGGGATTCGATCCGGGGTCTCCAGAATCGCGCCCTGGGCCAAAGGCAGGCGCCAAACCGCTGCGCCACCCAGGGATCCCATGTACATAAATTCTATCACAATAACACTGAGAGGAAAAACCCCTCTATGAGGGAAATAGGAAAAGACTGAACATAAGTAAATGCTTACCATGATCTTGCGCTGGAAGTTTCTCCAGCAAAAAGGTATCAATTATTCCTAAATTAATCTACACTTTACTTCAATCCCAATAAAAGCTCCATCAGGATTCCTTTTTGCAACTAAACCAAGAGATCCTCAACTTTGTGGCGGGGGTAGATCTGTGGTGGTTGATGTTCTTTCATATGGGACAGAATAACACCCACTTCCATCCCCTTCTGAACCCTTCTAAGTAAAATAATGAGTAGAGTAGAAGAACTCCCCAGGTAAGAGAAGGAAAGAGGACACAGCAACCACAGAGCATTGGAAATCAAAGAGCAGAGCGGTGAGCATTTGCTGACTCAACAATGAAGGGGAAGCTTGAGCAACAGCCCTGCTGTGGAGAAGCCAGAGCCAGCAGACATGCAGGACCACCACTGGGACCGAAGGTGTGTAGGGTCACGGGGATGCTGAGGCAGGGCACAGGGGATGGGTGTGTCTAACACCAAGCAGATTCGTTGAAATTCTCTACAAGAAGGAGAGGCTTAGATCATCTTCCCACTCATGGGGAAACCAAGGGACACAGGACACGCTGCATCCAAGAGTGCCATGCTGAGATCGGGCAGGGAGGGCACACGGAAGGACACACACAAACTTTGAGACCCTGGCCTCTTCCTTCACTCCCTTCTGACAACCCTGGGGACCACGCAAGAGAATCTCCACGCAAGAGAATTAGTGATTCCTCTATGGAAAAACAGAGGGTCCCAGAGAACAGGGACATGGATCCTGCCATTGGGGGGCAGGTTCTCCCAAAGGTCAATAGGCGAAGCCAAGGATCACCATGCTGTAGGAGCACAGCACCCCCAAGGCACCCTGGAGAGCATTTTCAGGCTGCTAAGATGACACTTCAAGCAGAGTAGAGCCATGAAGCACAGTAGTGGGCTGTCCAGAAGAAAAACACAGTGAAAGAGAAAGCTCAAAAATGGGAAGTCTGATAGCCAGAAGTAGGACTCGGGAGAGAGAGGCCAAGAGCCAGCCTTGAACAGCGATCCCAGAAAATTGAACGGAAAGGCAGAGATGAACCATAGAAGAATAAGACAAGGTGGTCGGGGCCCCAGCTGAGTCCCCGTGTCTCAAACAAGCAAACAAAGCCTGCAGAGCGAAGAGAGGCAGACAGAGCAGGACAGCACGATAACAAAGATCTCATTCAGGACGCTCTGGGATGGAAAGACCTCCGCTTCTACGCCCAAGGACGGCAGCATGGTATCAGCGTGACATATCGGAAAAAAGGAAAAGAGACCCAGAGCCCAGGCACACCGGGTGCAATTTCAGAATAACGGTTTCCCAGGAAAGATCCTCCAAGCTCCCAGAAAGGAGAAGCCACAGAGGGCGCACACAGAGGCGGAAGTAAGGGTTCAGGTTCACTACTGTCGCTCAAAGAGCCAGAAGGAAATAGAGCAACTCCATTCCTGTTCTAAGGGAAACTTTCCAACCCAGAATCGTGTATCTGGCCAAACTACCAATCAGGTTTGAAGTGAAAATTAGGATTCATTCTCAGAAATGCAGGTTTTCTGAAGACAGAGCTTCCATTGCTTTCTCCGTCAAGAAACTACTACAAGAGTTGTTCCAGTCAGAAAAGGAAGTAAACCAAATTAAATCCATGGGATCCAGGGACCCCTAGGTGGCTCAGGGGATCCCTGGGTGGCTCAGCGGTTTAGCGCCTGCCTTCGGCCCAAGGCGTGATCCTGGAGTCCTGGGATCGAGTACTGCGTCGGGCTCCCTGCATGGAGCCTGCTTGTATCTCTGCCTCTCTTTCTCTCTGTGTCTCTCATGAATAAATAAATAAATAAATCCATGGGATCCACTAATGGGAGATGGATGTCAGAGAGCACAGAGGGCATCTTCCCGAAGAGGAGGGAGCCCCAACTCCCCAAGGCATCATCCCCAAGGAAACACAGCTGTAATTAGGGAATGCCCAGCAAGCAGAACGGATGACCAGGGGATTGATGATCGCTGTCCCAACAGCTGGGATGAATCTGTGGGCTAGTCCAGGAGTTGGTGCTGGGAAGGCAGGTAGCAGGGGAGTCAGGAGAGCCCACAGATAGCATTTAAACAGGAACGCCAATAGATAGAAACACAGTCGTGTTTCTTAAAAACAGTGGTTGAGCTAATAGCAGACAAAGCTGGAAAATCTGAGAGAGATGGAGCCACCCACAGCTGTCTCTGCTACTATTTGTGCTTGTTGTTCACTTCACGGTGTTGCTTGTAACTCAGATAAAAGTCAAATGAAAGAAAAGAAAGAAGGAGAGAGCTGAGGGCACAGTGGGTCTACTGGCTGTGAGACATGTTGTAGGACCACAGCACGGTGCTGGTCCGTGGATGGGGAGACTCTCAAGTAGAACAAAACACAAGGCTCAGGATTTTGAATTCTAAAAAAGCCCAGAGAATCCAGAGGTGGGACAGAAGCCAGATCCTGAATCTATAGCTTCAGTCACTACAGCTGACACAGAAAGGACCGAAGGCAATCAATGAACAGAGTAAAAATGCAAAAAATGTGACACAATTATAAAGTTTGTCATACCTATTTTTAGTACATGGCCGCCAGAATTTACCTGAGAATAGAGCATAAACAAACATAAGGAAGTGAACATATGCTCAGATATATAAAGGGCCCTGGCCCAGGAGGCTCAACACCTGAACCCCTCCCCTTGCACCTCCTCCTCTGACCTGCTCCACACTCCACCCACCAGAACCATGACCTGCTGTGGCTGCTCTGGGGGCTGTGGCTCCAGCTGCTGTGTGCCTGTCTGCTGCTGCAAGCCCGTGTGCTGCTGTGTGCCGGCCTGTCCCTGCTCTAGCTGTGGGTCCTGCGGGGGCTCCAAGGGGGGCTGTGGGTCCTGCGGGGGCTCCAAGGGGGGCTGTGGGTCCTGCGGGGGCTCCAAGGGGGGCTGTGGGTCCTGTGGGGGCTCCAAGGGAGGCTGTGGGTCCTGTGGGGGCTCCAAGGGGGGCTGTGGGTCCTGCGGGGGTTCCAAGGGGGGCTGTGGCTCCTGTGGCTGCTCCCAGTCCTGCTGCTGCAAACCTTGCTGCTCCCAGTCCTGCTGTTGCAAACCCTGCTGCTGTGAGTCCTGCTGCTGCAAACCCTGTTGCTCCCAGTCCAGCTGCTGCTGCAAACCCTGCTGCTGTGAGTCCTGCTGCTGCAAACCCTGCTGCTCCCAGTCCTGCTGCTGTAAGCCCTGCTGCTCCCAGTCCTGCTGCTGTAAGCCCTGCTGCTCCCAGTCCAGCTGCTGTGTCCCTGTTTGCTGCCAGTGCAAGGTTTGAGGCTCTGCCTAAGGACCTCTGGTAGTTCCTAAAGACCCATGTTTCCACTCAAGTGACTATAGATAAATCCTGGATCCCGTAAACACTTCCTCTTCAGGTACTGAACAACTAGAGTCATCTGGCTTGGGATTTTCCCCCCAGCCTTTGTGGGAAGGGAATGGACTATTCCCATACCCATTCCCTAAAAAGGGATCCCATCCTTCAAGTACCTTGCCTCTCCTCCCACATGCCCTAATGCCTGAGCCAGACTATATGGAAGTGGCCCACAGGGCAAGGAGGTGGCTGAAGTCCCTGTTTATGTCATTATATATGAGGCACAAAATCTTTGCTTTCTTCTACTCACTAGGAGCTTTATGGCATTAGCATGCAACCATCTCATGTAACTGGCCTAATTAACACAGTTGTATTAAGATTCCAACAGATCTTGGTGAACCACTAAATAAACTCTCTACCCATAAGCCTTGGTCTCATGGTGACTTTTCTCTTCTATCCTGTCTCATTAGCAAAACTGACCATGTTTCCCTTGTCTCACTGCTTAAGTTGTTCATTGCTGTCTCTCCACTGCGGGCCCAGTGGTCAGTCCATAAAGATTTGTTTAATTAATGAAGGAATCACTGCATGTATGTATGAATGAGTAAAGGATTAGTGAATGGATGAGTGAATGAAAGAGTATCTCTTATTAGTATAGAGAGAGTTCCAGCTGCATCTAAATGGATTCAGAGTTTGTCTTTGTTGGAATAATGGATGCTGTTCCTTCCCCATGAGATGATTTGCCTTAGAAGGGATACAGTGTGTGGTCTCTGTGCCCATCCAGGCCCCAGAGCAGGAGTCAAGCCTAGAGAGAGGGAAGTGAGGCTAAAGTGATCTGTGTTCCTGAGATGTTCTATAGGACAAAAATAGAAATTGTGCTGCATCAAGGACCAGAGATGGTGTGGCTCAGCATAGAGTATAGAGCACTCTCTCCATCTCTAGGCTCCGAGTCAGTAGGAACCCACCACTCATAGATGTCACAGCTTTGATTCAGCACCGGGAGGAACAGAAGGGGATTTCCTCAACCTGATAAAGGGCATCTACCAAAAATCCACAGTTGACCTCACACTTCATAGAGAAAGCCTGGATGTTTCCCTTCTAGGTCAGGAACAAGGAGATATCCAGTCACCACTTCTATTCAATGTTGCACTGACGGTATACCCAGGATCATAAGGCAAGAGAAATAAATAAAAGGCATCCAGGTTAGCAAAGAAGAAATGAAAAATCTCTACTTACTGAATATATTATCTTACATATAAAAAACTCCTAAGAAACACACACACGCACACACACACACACACATACAAATAAGTGAATTCAGTAGGTTGCAGGATACAACATCAATAGACAAAAGTCAGTCGTATTTCTATACACTAGCAGTGAGCAAACATCATTCAAATTAAGAAAAGAAAAATTAATAATAAACAAACAATAAAAATAAATTAAGAAAACAATCTTATCAAAAAGAACAAAAGACTAAAGAATAATCTTAACCAAAAAAAATGCAAGACTTGCTTACTGAAAACTGCAAAACATCATTGAAAGGAGTTAAAGACCAAAATAAATGGAAAGGCACCCAACATTCATGTATCAGAAGACATGTTGTTAAAGTGACAATCTTCCAAAAGTTGATCGGCAGACGGAATGCAACCCTTATCAAAATACCAGGTTGCTTCTTGCAGAAATTGAGCATCTGATCCTAAGATTCAAATGAAAATTCAAGGAATCTCAGATAGTCAAAAAAAACCTTGCAAAAAAAAAAAAAACAAAAAACCAAAGGTGAAGTATCCACACATCCCAATTTCAAAGTGTGCTTCAAGGCCACATTATTGAGGCAGTGTGGTGCTGGCATAAGGATAGACTAACAGATCAATGGAATAGAACTGAGAGTATAGGGATGAACCCTCTAAATTATGTTCAATTGATCTTCAACAAGGGTTCCAAGATAATTCAGTGGAAGAGTCTTTTCAATAAATAGTGCTGGGATGATGAGATATCCACTTTCAAAAGAATGAAGTTCTCTCCCTCTCCCATCCTGTGCAAAAATAGCAACACAAAAAACCCTCTAACTGGATCAATAACTTAATCATAAAAGTTAAAACTATAAACTATCGGAGTGCCTGGGTTGCTCAGTTGGTGAAGCGTCTGCCTTCATAGTGCTACTATGAACATTAGTGCCTACAGATAAGAGAAAATATTTACAAATCAGACATTGGCTTATATCCAGAATATACAAAAACTACTCAAGAAAAATATTTATAAGACAAATAACTCAAAATTTAGCAAAGTATTTGAATAGGTATTTTTCATTTATTTATTTTTTATTTTTTTTATTTATTTATGATAGTCACACACAGAGAGAGAGAGGCAGAGACATAGGCAGAGGGAGAAGCAGGCTCCATGCACTGGGAGCCCGATGTGGGATTCAATCCTGGGTCTCCAGGATCGCGCCCTGGGCCAAAGGCAGGCGCCAAACCGCTGCGCCACCAAGGGATCCCTGAATAGGTATTTTTCCAGGAAGATACACAAATAGCTAATAAGCCAATGAAGAGATGCTCAACATTATTAGGAATCAGGGAAGTGCTGATCAAAACCCAGGGAGGTCCCACTTCAAGCTGTCTCAGATGGCTATGATCAAAAAGACAGGTAATAATAACAAATGTTGGTGAGGATGTGGAAGAAACTGGAGCCCTTGTACATTGCCAATGGGAGTAAAAAATGGGGAAGCTACTTTGAAAAATAGTTTGGCAGCTCCTCAAATGTTCAACAGTTACCGTAGGACTCAGAAATTCCATCGCTCGATGTCCCCAAGAGATCTGAAAACTGAAGTCATGCAAAGATCCATGCACTAATGTTTATAGTAGCACGAATCACAACTGCCACAAGGTAGAAATACCCACATGTCCACCAACTGATGCATGAATAAACAACATATGGTATATCCACACAATAGAATGCTATTTAGTCCTAAAAAAGTATAAAGTTCTTATACATGGTACAACATAAACAAAACTTTGAAAAAAATTACACTAACTGAAAGAAGACAGACACAGAAGGCCACATATGATCCCATTTATATGAAATGTTCAAAGTAAGTGAATCCACAAGGCCAGGAAGAAGATTAGTATATTATGGGGACTGGGTGGGAAGGGAAGAATGGATGCTAACTGCTAACATTATGGAATTTCTTTGGGGAGGTGATGAAAATGATCTGAAATGAGACAGGAGTAATGTTTGTATAACTTTGTGAATCTACTAAAAACCACTGAGTTGTACCCAGTTAAGAGTGGATTTTTATCATATGTGAATTATATCTCAATTTTAAAATTCATGTTATACGACTTTGTTTTGAAAAAAAAAATCTGTACATTTCTTACCATTTACCAAATCACCTTGTGGTTTCCATCAAAGGTGTATATTTTAGTTATTGACTTTAGATTTTCATTTCAAGGTAAAAATCATAAATAACCTTAACTAAATTTAAAGATAGTGTTAAAGTATTTAGAAGTTGATATTTATTATATCCAAGGGCTATATTTATCTGGTCCATATACATTACGTAGTAGAAGAGATATCAATTTTTAGAGGTTTTTAAAGTGTCTTGAAGAGGGAAACCACTCCAATCGAGCATGTAAGAAGCTTGGAGGTGGCCACTCCCATCCACACAAGAAAATGCTCCAAGGATCTGAGGTCATGGGGCATACTGCCGCCACTAGAAACTGGAGAGACAAATGGGCAGGGACAGAGAATCACAACTTAAAGAAGCAGGGACCTCCATGAGAGCCAGAACCAGGGTAGGAAAATGTCAGTATGGACATGTCTGGGAGTTAAAACCTCCAGGTGGACACAATCAAAATACCCTCTCATGCTTTTGGCCAGGGAAGGATGGAAGTAGACATTTGAAATAGGCCAGAGCACTCTGTTTTTAATAAGGTCTGCCCTCGGGATAAATTATTTTACCAAGCCTAACCTTGCTGGGGTCTTATCAGAGCCCAAGTGGCCTGGAGGGAGGGAAACACCAGCTCCAGCCCCCAGACTTCATGACCACCTTGGTTGGGAGGAAGAAAAACTAAGATGCACTTGTAAAGGTCACAGTCAAGGTTATCAAGAGACTGAGAAGACTTACTTTCCACCCACACCTTATTAATACAGCCCTACAGGCCTACTTACCACAATTCCTTTCACCTGGTACATCATGTCCCTCTTTCAACAAAAAAATACTAAAAGGCAAACAGCATAGCTAGAAGATACAGAGCAAGCGCCAGACCCAGACCCAGACATGGCAGAGATTTTGAAATTATCAGACGAGGAAGCGAAAATAACTATGACTGGGCAGCCTGGGTAGCTCAGCGGTTTAGTGCCACCTTCAGCCCAGGGTGTGATCCTGGAGACCTGGGATCGAGTCCCACGTTGGGCTCCCTGCATGGAGCCTGCTTCTCCCTCTGCCTGTGTCTCTGCCTCTCTCTCTCTCTCTCTCTCTCTGTGTGTGTGTGTGTCTCATGAATAAATAAAATATTTTTAAAAATTAAAAAAATAACTATGACTAATATGGCAATGCTGTAAGGAAACATGTGAGAGCAAACGGGTAATGTAAGCAGTGAGAGGGAGATCCTAAGAAAGAATCAAAGAGAGGCTGAGCTCAAATCCACCGTGCCACAAATGAAAAGTCTTTGATGGGCTCATCAGTAGACTGGACATGGTGAGGAAAGAATCCATGAACTCAGAGGCACGTCAGTAGATATTTCCCAAACTGAAAGAAAAAAAAAAAAAACACCTGGGGAAATGGAACAGAACATCCAAGAACTGTGGAATAGTTATAAAAGAGAAACCAGAGGTAACTAATTTTCATGCGTGGTTTAGGATGTTAAAGGGAATTTATCAAACTAATAGAGGCGATGGAATATTTAAGCTTAAAAGACTTTCAGTTATTTCAGTTTGAGCAGTGAAACATTAGCCATAGGTCCCTTTGACAGTTACTATTAGATTTATTATATATATCTATGTTTTGTAAAATAAAGATATCAATATCTATAAAATATATTTATTTTATATATTTGTAAGTTGTCTTTATAAAGTTTTTAGAAGCATTGTATTTTTTAAATAGATTTTATTTATTTATTCATGAGAGACACAGAGAGAGAGAGACTCAGAGACACAGGCAGAGGGAGGAGCAAACTCCCTGCAGGGAGCCCGACGTGGGACCCAATCCCAGACCCCAGGATCATGCCCTGAGCCAAAGGCAGATGCCCATCCGCTCAGCCACCCAGGTGACCCTTTTAGACGCATTTTAAATGATAACAGGGATGCCTGGGTGGCTCAGTCACTTGGGCAGCTGATTGTTTGTTTCAGCTCAAGTCATGATCTTGGGGTTGTGGGATCATGAGTCGAACCCTGAGTTCAGCCCAGCATCAAGCTCCACACTCGGCTTGGAGTCCCCTTGTCCCTCTCCCTCTGCTCCTTCTCTCTCTCTCAAACAAATAAATAAAATCTTTTTAAAAATAAAATAATAAATTGCAATGCTAACAAATTGAATATTAATTTGAAAACCTCAAGCAATCAAAACCTTTTTTGGGGAGAAATGTTCTCACACGTGGCTCCCTGCTCTATGGGTTGAGAGCTATGGGGGTGGGAAAGGCCAGGTGGAACCACCAGACACCTGTCCCCAGGATAAGAGTAAACAAAAGGCAGATTGTGCTTCTGAGGAACCCCATGGAGAGTACCTGCCATCAAGAACTGGAAAGATGCACACGTGATGATTCTCACTACATCCTCCCTCACTATTTTCTCTACTGACCCGCTGGCAAGATGTTTGTTTCCAATCCCCATGACCTTGTGCTCTGGTCTTAGATACACGGGGAGAAACACTTCCACCAGGGACACACAACCATTCCACTGGACTGGAGTTTCAGGCGGCCCCCCGGCCACCTAGGGCCCCTCGTGCCTCAGAGTCAACAGGCAGAGGGGCTTTGTACTGACTGCAGTGATTGAACCCGATTATCAAAGAAAAATCTGGCTGCTAATCATAATAGAAGTAAGGAGGAGCATGTGTGGAATCCAGGAGATGCCTGATGACATCTCAGCACCACCATGCCCTGCAGTTAAAGTCAAAGTACAATGCAATTCAAGCAGGATGGTGACCAGCCCGGGCTGTGCCCCCAGGTTCCCAGCCCAGAATCATGGGTACCACCTGCCCTGAGACGAACAGGAAGGACACTCCCCCATTCCCCACCGCCACAGTGGCTTTCTGCTTCCCACACTCTCCACACCCTGAGCCCACCTCTCATGTGCTCTTTGGGACACTGTCAAGACTGTTCGGGGTTCAGACAGGGTCAGGGGTCATGTCAGGGTGATGACCTGTAGGACCCTGAGGCACTGCTTCTGTCTCCTGCAAAACCTGAAACACAAGCCCTGTCAGGTGATGGAAGCTCTGTGCTGGAGTGTCTGCAAAACACACTAAGGGGTTCTCATAAATACCAGAACATGCGCATTTTTAAATTCTTTAAAATACTCAGAATTTTTCTGCGAGAAAGTGGCACAAACAGGAACCAGGAAGTGACCATGTGCCCAACATCTTATCTGACCCCGGGCAGGTATATAAGGGCCCCCGGCCCAGGAGGCTCCACACCTGAACACCTCCCCTCTGCACCTGCTCCTCTGACCTGCTCTACCTTCCACCCACCAGAACCATGAGCTGCTGTGGCTGCTCGGGGGCTGTGGCTCCAGCTGCTGTGTGCCTGTCTGCTGCTGCAAGCCCGTGTGCTGCTGTGTGCCGGCCTGTCCCTGCTCTAGCTGTGGGTCCTGCGGGGGCTCCAAGGGGGGCTGTGGGTCCTGCGGGGGCTCCAAGGGGGCTGTGGGTCCTGTGGGGCTCCAAGGGGGCTGTGGGTCCTGCGGGGGCTCTAAGGGGGGCTGTGGGTCCTGTGGGGGCTCCAAGGGGGGCTGTGGATCATCCTGCTGCCAGTCTAGCTGCTGTAAGCCCTGCTGCTGTGAGTCCTGCTGCTGCAAACCCTGCTGCTCCCAGTCCTGCTGCTGCAAACCCTGCTGCTCCCAGTCCTGTTGCTGCAAACCCTGCTGCTCCCAGTCCTGCTGCTGCAAACCCTGCTGCTCCCAGTCCTGCTGTTGCAAACCCTGCTGCTGTGAGTCCAGCTGCTGCAAGCCCTGTTGCTCCCAGTCCAGCTGCTGCAAACCCTGCTGCTCCCAGTCCTGTTGCTGCAAACCCTGCTGCTGCCAGTCCAGCTGCTGCAAACCCTGCTGCTCCCAGTCCAGCTGCTGTGTCCCTGTTTGCTGCCAGTGCAAGATTTGATTCTTTAGCACATGCACCCCCTGGCTACAGATCTAATGCCCAGGACAGAGTTCAGTGCTCCATCTCAAACCCCTGAATCACAGCCCTGGCCTGCTTTTTCTTGGAATGGGAAGCAGGAATGTTTAGGGCAGAAATAGCTTGCTCACACCCCCCAAGAGGGGCCTGTCCCCCTTACCATCTGGTCATCTCCTCCAGAAAGGCTCTCAACAGCCTCCATTCCCAGGTTACCACGGTCTGCCAGGATACTCTGATCTCTTCTCCCCCGGCCCCAGTCCAGCACCCAGGCATCTCCCTGAGGGAAGCTCCTGATGCCACATGCTAATTCCCTGTCTCTTATAGTCTGTGCATTCTGAGCTTCTTGACCTTGTCAGACCTTTAAATAAACATACCCATTCCCCACAAGTCCTAGTGATTCTTTCTTCCTGCTTCTGTTAATCTCCCACTTCTGTCCTCTCCCTGGAGTGTTATCCTCCTTTGGACTTCCTGAGTCCCACCAGGGTATCCAGTAACCCTGTGCCCCATGCAACACGGTGTGCTTAGTGCCCACTGCATGCACCCCATGAAGAACTGGAGCCCAGGCGAGAACAGGACATGACACCCACCCAGAGGTGCACCTGCCCAGAGGCGACCAGGACTGTGGTGCTGGAGGACAACAAAGGTCCAGGCAGCCACCAGGGCAACAGGACACCACTGGGGTGAGGGGTAGAGACTAGCCAGGGCAAAGGGAGTGGGGACCAGCCAATACTTTTGAGTAGTTTGGGGTAGACCATTGGACTGGGGAGCAGATGGGAAGACGAGGCTGCCCCCCTTTGTTTCTGAGTCAGGGAACTCAAAGTGACCTTCCCTATTGGTCTTAGATATCATTTTGAATAAATAACACAGGATAACATCAGAATGATTTAATGGCTTGCTATTTGTTCTAAGGGGATTTATGTTTTCAAATCTTAATAAAGCAAACAGAAATGCCATGCCTTCTCTCTATTGTGCCTTGAAAGCGCCTGCATCCTGGAGGCAACCAGAACATCTCCAGAGAAGCCACTCTCCAATCAGAGGAAGAGTGAGCTCTTTGCACAAAAACTCACTTCTCCTCCAATTCTGAAAATTTGAAGCCCTTAGACACCAGAGAGGTGTATGTGTACACGCATATGTGCATTCGTGTACGTGTGTGTAAGCATGTGTGCATATAAGGATATGTGCATCTGTGTGCGGGTTCATGCATGCATGCACGTGAGGGTGTGTGCAAGCGTGTGCATGAATCTGTGGGTGTGCATGTATGTGCATCCATGCATGTAAGGGTATATGTACAAGCATGTGCATGTGCATGTGCATGTGTATGCAGGTGTGCATGTGCACACATGTGTGCATATAAGGGTGTGTGCATGAGCCTGTGCACGTGTGCAATTGTGGGCATGTGTGTATGCATGCATGTAAGGGTGTGTGTGAGCATGTGCACACGTATGTAAGCATGTGTGTAAGGGCTGTGAGAGCATGTGCATGTGTGAGAGACCGTTACATGTATGTGAAGATGTGCGTGTAAGGGTGTGTGTGCTAGCATGTGCATGTGTGTAAGCAGGCATGTGTGTGAGATGTGTACATGTAAGTGTGTGTCTGGATGTGCATATGTGTGCATGTATGCATGTAAGGTTTGCGAGCATGTGCTTTTCAGGAGCAGGAGCCATCACTTTTTATCATCAAATCCTCAAATGAGCCTCTGCCCCAGTTTGATCTTTGTTTTCTGTACCATGGTCTCCTCTGAAGAAAGTAAAACCCTCTTGGTCCCACCAGGGAGCAAGGAGCCAGATGAAGAGCAGAGGATGAGGATGGGGAAGCAAACTGTAAAGTACTATTTTTCTGCAGTGCCAGCAGAGAAACATTTTCCTGTTCTGACACACCCTGGATTAAGACCGTGTGGGTGGGGGCAAACTCAAGTGGCAGTGGCATCAGGGGTCACTGAGGTCACCATGGGTGCAGGTGGCCTCTCCTGACTGTCCCAGGAGAGGCCAGGAAAAAATAAACCTGTCATGAATTTCAACATAGATCATGAGCGGGAAAGTGAAGCACCTCTCTGTATCTTCCTCTCAAGTTTGTTATGAATCTAAAACTTCTCTAAAAATAGTCTATTTTAAAAAAAAAAAAACTAGGGGCACCTGGGTGGCTCCATTGGTGAAGCATCTGCCTGCAGCTTAGGTCATGATCTCAGGGTCCTGGTATCAGCCCTGCATCAGACTCCCTGCTCAGTGGGGAGCCTGAGTCTCCTCTGCCCCTCCCCCTCAACTCATGTCCTCTCTCACTCACTCTACTCTCCCTCTCTGTTACATAAATAAATAAATAATCTTTTTTAAGATAAATAAATAATCTTTAAAAAAAACAAATATGGACTCATAAGTCCAGGGTGAGCGCATCATTTGTCCCTTAGTTAGGGCCCATGTGGCTATTAACACCACCTAAAATCATGTTTAGTGAGTGTGGCAGCAGCACCACACCCAGCCCACACTGAACTCAAATACCCCAGGCTTTTTTTCTATTAGCCAGGTTACCCCCTTCTGTATTTTTGTGATGGTTTTTGGATGAAAGAGGCAGGGTTTGGTGTCGATAGTCTTGTCCCATCTCTTCCTACAATTCCACTTTTAACAAGTGGATTTGCATATGAACATGGGATGTAGTCATTGGATGGTGTAGAGCAATGGGTAATTTTTTTTTCTTTATTTTCAAAAATTTTTCCCTTGTGGTGGTTGTGATATTGCTGCACAGGAAATTTAAGAACAGCAACAACAGTAGAAGCAGACACTGACAAGCATGCAGGCAGGGTGCCCGTATGGCCCCCCATCTGTGGGCGCTGTTGGCGAAGGCCGCACTCAGGCCTGGACGTGAGGGCACAGGGCTGGGACAGAGATAAGAGTAGTTCCAGGACCGTGCAAGTGAGCATGACCCACACTGGGAGGAGATGGTTCACAACCAAGAAGGGGCAGGCTGCTGCCGGTTGTATTACCAAGTCTGGGAAGTTGGAATGAGCAGAGCAAGGTTAACAGGTCAGATAAGGTCAGGCCAAGTGGGCACCCTGGGCATCGAAGTTTCAATATACCAGCTCAGTCAAGAAGGGTTGGTATGAACCACTGGCTGGTCTGCATGTCAAAGGCCTGAACCGCACAAAAGTGACCCACAGTCAGGGGCTTGCCCCAACTTCCCCGGCAAACTATAGAGTGGGAGTTGGCAAAGCTTCTCTGTGAAGGGCCAGGTAGTAGATACCGTAGGCTTCGCGGGTCATCAGGTCTATGTGGGACCTGGACTCTGCCTCAAGGATGCAAACCAGCCATAGGACACGGAAACAACAGGCAAGGCTGTATTCTAGTAGCACTTGATCGACAAAAACGGGCAGTGGGCTGCACTGAGGGAAGGGACCCAAGGTCCAGACAGATGAGAACAGTTGGGTGGGTTGATTAGGTGCAACTTTTCTGCTCCCCCCAACACTACCTGGTGGGGTCAGGAGGATGCGTCCCTAGGAGGAATGAAGAAATGCATTGGCAAGGAGGGTCTCAGCGTCCTTGCAAAGCCCTCAGTGGCCGGCCTCTTCTGGCCAGAGATAGCTACAGCAGGAGCTGCCGCAACAGTACCAGGCACCCAACGTGGGCACAGCCCAGAGGCCCCAGCGTGGTAGAGACCAGATGCCGGCGCTTAGCTGCCAGATGCAAGTGCCGCACTCATCACGGTGAGCTGCAAGAAGGGAACGATGAGACTGATTGTGCTTAAATGCAAGGACTTACAGGGGCGCGGGGGGGGTGTAGCTGATCAGGGGTGGGTGCCCTACCAAGATGCCATGCGATCTATATCAGCAGGAAAATTCTAGGTTCAGGGGGCAGAAACACGACTCAAATCACCATGGTAGAGCTTTTCAGCCTCCGGCCAAGTTCCTAAACCTTAGTCAAATCACAGGTCCAGAGCCCACTGATCGGCAGCGAAGCCAGATCCCTGTGCAGAAGGGCCCAGCAGCCCGGCCACAGACGTGGCTATTCCTGTAGGCCTTCCCCAGTGGAGCCCACAGCCATGACTTGCCCTAGAAAAAGGGATAAACCTGCATATTCTAGAACATCCTCAGACACCAGTTCTAAATCAATGCTGGTCCCTAGGGCCCCCAAATCCTACAGTGGTGCAGGACCCAGAGTGAGGGTCTGGAGAAGTCAGCAGGTGCATGGGCCTTGGCCTTGGTGTGCCTTACAGTGGGTCCCGTGGGCCTGTGGACCCATCCTGTGTCCACGTGCCCACAGGGATTAGATAGTAGGAAAAGACCACTGACGGGATCTCCATTCTGGTTTCTGGAACAAGAGATAGTGTGGCAGCAAAATGAAAGCCAGCAGAAGTCTCTCAATATGCGCGCGCACACACATGAACAAATACTGAACCTAAGTCCATACAGCTTCCCCAGGGAAATTTAGAGATTAGTTCCACCAGGAAAGATCTGGAAGATGCAGAACTAATGATCCCCACTCACCCTCATTTACCTGTCCTGTTTGGCCAGTGCAAAAATCCAGATGGGTCTTGGAGAAAGGCTGTGGGTTATTTAAACAAGTATGTGGTGATGCCTCAGAGCTGCTCTTCTGGACAGTCTCTGACCTGAGATGCTGCACTGACTTGGCAAATGTTCTCTCCTCCATTCCAGCAAGAGACCATCAGGGCAGCAATACGCTCCCACTGTTTCCTCAAGGCTAGACCAAGCCCACCCCCACAATAGAACCCACAACTGGCTCCACTGTCTATGTATCCAGTCACATAACGCTGGGCCGCTCTGTGTTGGAATCGTGGTAACTGGCCTCGCAGTAACAACCCACCCCCAGGAGAAGCATCCCAAGAACCTGGTAAGACACGGGCATACTCAAAGATGGGGGTGAGCCCTGTAAAGTGGGTGTAATTTCTATGGATCCAGTGGTCTGAGAAGCATGAAAATATTTCTTCTGAAGTGAGGGAAGGCTGCGAAACCTTGCAAAATTCACCAATTGGTGAGCCTTTGAGAATTTTCACATATACCGCATTTGGGCATGTCGCTCTCAACCAGCTGTGAGCAGGGCTCCAACCGAAGAATTTTATAGCAGAACCAGGCCGTGGTCCAACCTGCTGTTTGAGCCATGTGAGTGTGAAGACCCACTGGTGCAAGAAGAGCCTGGATGACACTTTCTGGAGCCTCCGGCAGGCCCCAGTCAACAAATCACCAATGCCAGAAGCAACCCTGAACTCTTGTACCCCACCTCAAACCCCAGAGTGATGCCACAGGGGCTCAGCACTGGCTTCTGACCAGGGCAGGCTGAGCGCCCAGTGGCATGGTGGGTCAGCCCCCAGGAAAGGAAATCACGTGTCACTTCCATCTCTGCGTCAATGGCAGCCCTGAAAAAAGAACCAATGAGCAAGCACAGGAATGATGGTACAAACAAGAAGGCTGTCACCCACAGAACAGGTCACCTCCTCTCCCTGCCTACAGGTGGGCCCTCTGAAGTGGATGCCCTCTGCAGCGCACTTATATGGGACATGGGTAGTTTCACACTCTGTGCTCATTCCACGCCACCGAGCTTCTAGTCATGCTCTCTTCAAGACTCAGACCAGGCAGCCAACCTGCTAACCACTTTTTATGAATCCTAAAGCCATATCTCCTTTCCCAAAACTAAAATAACCTAGGAGACCATGAAAACTCTGTCCCCTGGAAGTCGGCCCCTCCACCACCTTGCAGGGCTAACCCTCGGTGGGTTGTCATGGCACAGCCATCCACATCTGGTGCAGAGACAGGCATGGACCAGGCCATGAGGTTTCTTCATCCACAGCGGCCACCAGGAAGTCTGCGTGAGGCCCAGCAGGGAGGGGAGAAGCCAGTCATCTTGAGATTTCTCCCACGTGAGTACAGAGCAATCCAAAGAGATGGCAGAGGGGACCCAGTCTGCAGTCTGCAGTCAGAGGGAGGATGGGGATAGCCACCAGGCCAGTGTGCAGGACAGAAAACACTTCCTGGGATTCATGGGTACACTTGGTATTAAAGAGGGACAGCTCACACCCATCAGGACAAGGGCTCGGGTAATTCTTATCTGACTAGTACTTCAGAGAGCTCAACAACACAAATGACGGAATGACAGATAGACCATGAGATCTACCTGTGTTTTTAAAAAAATTCCATGAGATCAACCAAGATCTTAGTGGTCTTGGGAATGGGGTTATGGATGATTTGTTTTCTTCTCTAATTTTCTACTTTTATTTAACTAAGACTGTGTTTTTCATTCAGATACAAGAGACATGTAACATGATGTTGGCTTCAGGTGTACGGCACGATGATTCAGTGTTTGCGCCTGTTGTGATGTGATCATAGTGTGATCAACACCCGTCACTACACATGGTCACAAAACTGTTTCTCGGGGTGGGAACTTTCAAGAAGTACTACTCTCAGCAAATTTCAAATATGCATCATTGTATTGTTGGGGCGCCTGGGTGGCTTAGTCAGTTGAGCGTCCAACTCTGAGTTCAACTCAGGTAATGATCTCAGGATCATGGAATCAGACCCCACATTGAACTCCACTCAGCAAGGAGTCTGCTGGAGATTCTCTCTCTCCCTGTCCCTCTGGCCCTCCCTCTACTCTCTCTCTCTCTCTCTCTCTCTCTCTCTCTCTCTCAAACAAACAAACAAAAAACCCCAAGCATGCAACACAGTATTGTTGACTCTGGTTCTAGCCACCATGCTGTCCACCATATCCCCAGGACTTACCTATTTTATAACTGGAAGTTGGTAACTTTGGCCTCTTCACCCGTTTTGCCCACCTCCAAGCCTCACCAGTCTATGTGTCTATGAACTTGGTTTTGGGGTGTTGTTTTTGTTGTTTTTAGATCCCACATGTGAGATCACATGGTGTTTGTCTTCCTCTGCTTCGTACCTCTGTTGTTGAAAATGGCAAGATTTCCTTCTTTTTATGGCTGAGTAATATTCCATTGTGTATGTACACCACAGCTTCTTTATCTATTCATCTTCAGTGGACACAGGTTGTTTCCATATCTTGGCAGTTGTCAACAATGCTGCAATGAACATGAGGTGTCGGCATCTTTTCAAAGTAGGGCTTTTATTGTATTTGGATAAACACCTAGTAGTGGAATTACTGGATCATATGGTAGTTATATTTTTAATTTGTTGAGGAACCTACATACTGTTCTCCACAGTGGCTGCACCCGTTTGCATTCCGACCAGCCATGCATGAGGGTCCCCCTTTCTCTGCTTCTTCGTCAACATCTGTCATTTCTTGTTTTTTTGAGTCAGGCTATTCCGACAGGTGTGAGGTAATACCTCATTGTGGTTTTATTTGTATCTCCCTGATGGTCAATGATTTTGAGCATCTTTTCATGTGTCTGTTGCCCATCTGGGTATCTTCTCTGGAAAAAAAATGCCCATTTCTTAACCAGATTGTTTTTTATTGAGTTATATAAGTTCTTTCTATGTTTTGGATATCAACCCCTTATCAGATAAAAAATTTGCAAATATTTTCTCCCATTGAGTAGGCTGCCTTTTCATTTTGTTGATAGTTTCCTTAGCTGTGCAGAAGCTTTTCAGTTTGATGTAATCCCACTTGTTTATTTTTGCTTCTGTTGCCTTTGCAAAGACTTCATTATTTATTTATTTATTTATTTATTTATTTATTTATTTATTTATTTATTTTTAAAGTAATATCTACACCCAATGTGGGGATCAAACTCACAATCTCGAGACCAAGAGTCACACACACTACTAACTGTGCCAACCAGGTGCACTTGCAAAAATCTCATTTTTTAAAATGAAATATTAAAATTAAATGTGGGCACAATTTTGGTACCAAAAAATACAGAGAAGGTGGAGAAGATCCCTGGATCCATCAACTATGTATGGTTAAGAGATAACTAGAAACATCATGAATCATGGAACTGTTTCTTTTTACAGAAAATAAACAAGATGGGGGAAGAAGACAAATTTAGAAACTTAGGAAGGTATCTGTTGGATGAAAGTCAAAGAAAGGCCATGGATTCTAGAAGAACAAAAAAGACATCACTCCAGAGAAATGACACAAGCAGAAACCAGGAAGTGATCATGTGCCCAGCATTGCACCTGACTGCTGGCAGGTATATAAAGGGCCCCAGCCCAGGAGGCTCCACACCTGAACACTTCCCTTCTGCACCTACTTCTCTGACCTGCTCCACCCTCCACCCACCAGAACCATGACCTGCTGTGGCTGCTCTGGGGGCTGTGGCTCCAGCTGCTGTGTGCCTGTCTGCTGCTGCAAGCCTGTGTGCTGCTGTGTGCCGGCCTGTCCCTGCTCTAGCTGTGGGTCCTGTGGGGGCTCCAAGGGGGGCTGTGGGTCCTGCGGGGGCTCCAAGGGGGGCTGTGGGTCCTGTGGGGGCTCCAAGGGGGGCTGTGGGTCCTGTGGGGGCTCCAAGGGGGGTTGTGGCTCCTGTGGCTGCTCCCAGTCCTGCTGCTGCAAACCCTGCTGCTGTGAGTCCAGCTGCTGCAAACCCTGCTGCTCCCAGTCCTGTTGCTGCAAACCCTGTTGCTCCCAGTCCTGCTGTTGCAAACCCTGCTGCTGTGAGTCCTGCTGCTGCAAACCCTGCTGCTCCCAGTCCTGTTGCTGCAAACCTTGCTGCTCCCAGTCCTGCTGTTGCAAACCCTGCTGCTGTGAATCCAGCTGCTGCAAACCCTGCTGCTCCCAGTCCTGTTGCTGCAAACCCTGCTGCTCCCAGTCCTGCTGTTGCAAACCCTGCTGCTGTGAGTCCAGCTGCTGCAAACCCTGCTGCTGCCAGTCTAGCTGCTGTAAGCCCTGCTGCTGCCAGTCCAGCTGCTGTGCCCCCATTTGCTGCCAGTGCAAGGTCTGAGGCTACGTCCACGGACCTCAAGTGGCTCCTGCAGATCCACAATCTCTAGGAAATGATCGGTTCTCCATACCAGAGTCACTGATTGCAGATCTCAACCCATCTTTTCCAGAATTGGCAGCCCAAATCTCCTGTCCCAGTGGGGTTGCTCTCCAGATTATGAAGGATAAGTGCATCTATCCATACCTTCTCTCCTACTCTAGATCCCCTGCTTCATTTGCCTTGGAGAAGAGCAATTTCTTTCCCCCTTAACAATTACAGTCCCTTTAGGACCCTGATCCCCAGAGCCATCATCCCACCCCCACCCCACACATGGGACTTAGTTGAGCCTGGGAATATACTACAAGACCAATGGCTAGAGTCCAGATCTGGGATGGGTGCACCACTCTCCCCTCTCCCCCACATATTACCAGCCCCAACTCTGGCACTTCCTTCTAATTTACCTGTGCTTCTTTCACCTACCAAAGTCCAGATTGGACTTTTTGACAGCTCTAAATAAAGACATTTCTAACTTAAGCGCCCTCTGTCTCCATGATGCTTCTTTAATAAATACTCTAAAAACATCTGTACATTGCTGATGGGAGTAAAAACAGGTGCAACTATTTTTTTCTGAAAGTAATATGGTAATATTTACTCTGATTTCACCATTGTCAGTATTATTTTACTTGCTTTGATGGCATTATTCAATATAATCACTTAAGAGAATGAAATGCAAAATATAACAATTGAAAAGAGAAAACAAAACCATTATTATTTATAGATGGTTCCATTGTATAACTGGAAAAAAAACAAAAACAAGTCAAATGAAAAATACTCAAAATGTAAGAGCATTCAGATAGAGGGTGAGATATATAATTAACATGTAAAATTAATATCTCTCTATTCACACATAACAAAAAGAAAAGATCCCCACCTATTAAATATAAACCTTATAAGAAACAGTTTTAAAAGTGTATATAGGGCAGCCCCAGTGGCTCAGTGGTTTAGCACTGCCTTCAGCCCAGAGTATGATCCTGGAGACACAGGATCGAGTCCCACGTCAGGCTCCCTGCATGGAGCCTGCTTCTTCCTCTGCCTGTGTCTCTGCCTCTCTCTCTCTCTCTGTCTCTCATGAATAAATAAATAAAATATTTTTTTAAAAAAAGTATATACAAAAAGGTGGCACTTCTAGCACTAAAAACTGAAACTGTCCAGATGTCCACTGATAGCAGGAAAGAACATTTATTTGTGACATAGTCACTCAGTGGGATACTATGTGGCAATGAAAATCTTACAGACATAATGTTGAGTGAAAGAAGCCAGTCAAAAGGTATGTATTATATGACTCCTTCTATATGAAGCACACATGCAAAAACATGGACCAACTAAAATAAAATAAAATTCTAGAAACCAATCAACTCTAAAGAAATACAGATTTATGAGCTGCCTGACAAAGAGTTTAAAGTAAATGTCATAAAGATGCTAAAAGAGAGCACAGAACAACAACTGAATGAAATCAGGAAAACAATGCATGCATAAAATGAGAATATTAACGAAGAGAACAATTTTTTTTTCAAAAAACCCAGAAGTTCTGGATCTGAAAAATATAATAAGAGAACTGAAACATTTAATACAGGGGTTCAATTACAAACTTGTGGGTTTGAAGACAGGTTGTTGAAATCACATCAGAGGAGCATGAAGAAAAGTGAAGAGAGCCTAAGTGATGTATGGGTCACCAATAAAGAGATTGATATATGCATTGTGGGAGTCCCACCAGCAGCAGTAGAAGAGAAAGAGGCAGAGAGTTTAATAAATAATGGACAAAAACTTCTAATCTAAGGAAATAAATGGACATATAAATTCAAGAAGCTCAAAGAACTACAGTCATATTATATCCAAAAGATCCACATTGAGGGGCACCTGGGTGGCTCAGTCAGTTAAGCATCTGCCTTCTGCTCAGGTCATAATCCTGGGGTCCTGGGATACAGCCCAGCATTAGGCTCCCTGCTCAGTGGGGAGTCTGCTTCTCCCTCTGCCCCTCCTCCTCCCCATGCTCGCTCTCCCTCAAATAAATAGAATCTTAAAAAAAAAAAAAAGATCCACACCGAGATACATTATAATCAAACTGTCATTTGCAGTTTTTCCCTTAGAACATATTTCTTGAAGGCTAATTGCCAGGCAAATGGGTATATACATTAAGTGCAGATAAATACATATTTGGAATTATTGATTTGTTTTTGATAAGTAGTAACCACACATTGTAAATGTAGTAGAGTGTATTGCTGCTGCACAAATTACCACAAACTTAATGTCTTAATACCAATTTATTCTCCTACAGTTCTGGAGGTCAGAAGACTCAAGTGTCTTACATCAAGGAGTCAGCAAAGCTGTGTTCCCTCTGGAGGCTCAAGGGAAGAATTCATTTCCTTGTCTTTTCCAGTTTCTAGAAATCGCCTACATTCCTTGGCTCATCCCCTTTCCATATTTAAAGCACATCACTCTGGTCTCCACTTTTGTGGTATGTCTCCTTCTGTGGCTCTCAAAGGACCTTCATATAAAGCTTCCCTCTTATAAGGACCCTGGCGATTCCATTAGGTACACAAGGATTATCCAGCATAATCTCCCATTTCAAGACTCTTAACCTAATCACACCTGCACAGTCTCTTTTACCATGTCATTTGAGGTAACATAATCATAGGTGCCAGGGATTAGACATACCAGGGATTAGATATGTTACCTCATATGATAACATAATCATAGGTTCAAGGGACTAGAATCCAAACCACCCAGGACATAGGATTTACACTGGAAATAGATTGGAAGTGAAGAGGAAGGAACAGAAGAATATGCACTGCTAAAGATGAGTTTATAATACAAAAATTAAAAAATAGGGATCCCTGGGTGGCGCAGCGGTTTGGCACCTGCCTTTGGCCCAGGGCGCTATCCTGGAGACCCGGGATCGAATCCCACGTCGGGCTCCCGGTGCATGGAGCCTGCTTCTCCCTCTGCCTATGTCTCTGCCTCTCTCTCTCTCTCTCTCTCTGTGACTATCATAAATAAAAATTTAAAAAAAACCTGAAACTTTAAAAAAATAAAAATAAACTTTCATTAGCAAGAGTCAGTATTTATAATAAACAGGATTACAAACCTAAACTTGTAAAATAAAAGAAAAACAATACAAAAATACTGTAAATACATATACCTAAAACTATTAAAAACATAAAGAACTAAATCCATAAATAAAGAATAATAAAAAAGAAAGAATAATAAACTAAAAAATAGATTTATAAGAATGTTCATAGAGAATTACCAATATGAAATATAATGTCTAAATTAAACTAAACTAACTAAAATTAAACATCCAAAGTTCTAGCTAAACAAAATTAGATACAGATGCAGAGTGAACTGTTAAACAGGGGAGAAACATCAAAGGAAATTAATTGGAATGCAGTATGGAAAAAAATTTAAATATGTAAAGACCCTTAAGACACATGAAGACTAGAACAAAAATATTCAATATATAGTTTATGTGAATCTTGGAAGAAGAGTACAGAAACAGTGGATAAAATTCAGTATTTAGAAACAATAATCATCTAAAATTAATAAAAGAATGCATCTCATATTGAATAATCACAAATCTAAAGCATGATAAATAAAAACATAAGTAAATCCAAACCCAGTCACATCATAGTAAAACCTCAGAACACAATGGCAAATAGAAAATCTTAAAGGGTATCAGAGGAAAAAATTAATAATTCTATTGAAAACAAACTTTTCAATGCAAGAGCTAGGAGGTAAAAAAAAAGGAAAAATTCAAATACTAAGCATAAATTTCTGTCAACTTGGAATTCAATACCCAGCTAAACTATCACTCCATAATTAAGTATAAAATAAAGACACTTTCAACTAAATTAAGACTGACAGTGCTTACCCACCATCAGACCTCTGCAGTAGTAATTCATTCAGAATATAATCCAGGAAGAAGGAAATTAAACTGAGAGGCAAGGAATAGGTCACTAAAGACAATCATCATGTGAGTAAATATAAATCATGTTGACTAACAAAAACAAACAAGAAAAATCATGACTGATTTGGGGGAGTATCATAAACAAGGTGGCAAAAAATGCCAGCCCATATAGCATGCAGGGCCTCCAGAGGAATCATTGTCCTGAGAGTATGAGAGTTAAAATGATTCAAGATTCTTCAATTGACTTTTGAGATGTGTCTAGCAAGAAGTTGCTGCAGCCGAGTTCACAGAGGTTGCTGCCTCTGTTCCCCTCTAGCATTTGGATGGATTCCTGTCTCACATTTAGGTCCTTCAGCCATTTTGAGTTTATCTTTGTGTGTGGTGTAATAAAGTGCTCTAGTTTCATTCTTCTACATATAGCTATCTAATTTTCCCAACACCATTTGTTGAAGAGACTGTCTTTTTTCCATTGGATATTCTTTCCTGCTTTGTTGAAGATGAGTTGACCATAGAGTAGTGGGTCCATTTCTGGGTTCTTTACCCTGTTCCATTGATCTGTGTGTCTGTTTTCATGCCAGTACCATACTGTCTCTGTGATTACAGCTTTGTATATAACTTGAAGTCAGGAATTGTGATGATACCAGCTTTGGCTTTTCCTTTTGGGTATTCCTCTGGCTATTTGGGGTCTTCTCTGGGTGCATACAAACTTTAGGATTGTTTGTTCCAGCTCTGTGAGAAATGTAGTTAGTATTTTGATAGGGATTGCATTGAATGTGTAGATTGCTTTGGGTAGCATAGACATTTTATTTTTTAAGTAAAAATGAACTCTTGGGACCTCATCGAGATAAAAAACTTTTGCACAGTGAAGGAAACAGGCAACAAAACTAAAAGGCAACCTACAGAATGGGAGAAGATATTTGCAAATGTCTTATCAGATAAAGGGCTAGTATCTATAAAGAAATTATCAAACTCAACACCCAAAACACAAAAATACAGTCAAGAAACAGGAAGAAGACATGAACAGACATTTCTCCAAAGAAGACATACAAATGGCCAACAGACACAATGAAAAAATGCTCCACATCACTAACTGCCAGGGAAATAAAAATCAAAAACACAGTGGGATACTACCTCACACCTGTCAGAATGGCTAAAATTAACAACACAGGAAACAACAGATGTTGATGAAGATCCAGATAGAGAGGAATCCTCCTACAGTGTTGGTGGGATTGCAAACTGGTGCAGCAACTGTGGAAAACTATATGGAGTTTCCTCAAAATTTAAAAATAGAGCTAGTCTATGACCCAGAAATTGCACTATTCAATATTTATCCAAAAGATACAAACAGTGATTCCAAGGGGCACATGCACCCCAATGTTTATACCAGCAATGTCCACAATAGCTAAAATATGGAAAGAGTCGGAATGTCCATCAACAGATGAATGTGATCACACATACACACACACACACACACACACATATACACACACACTGGAATATTACTCAGCCACCAAAAAAAGAATGAAATCTTGCCATTTGCAATGATGTGGATGAAACTAGAGGGTATGAT